TAACTAGCCTAGGCACAGGTTTTCAAGCCCTGGGACAAAATGGGATGCTTTAAGGAAAATGTATAGCCTATGTAAGCAATAGGCCTAAATAAAAATAATTTGTTTTCATAAAAAAAAGTGAAATATATCTGGCTTAAATAATTAAGCTAACAGATTTAAAACAGAAGTGTGGCGCGGCAAACGAATATGGAAACATTTGGATTTGTGCCGAATGAGACGTGAGCAATAAGCTCCAAATACATCTAGTCAAACCCGCGCTCGCTCCGTCCTCGTACACGCACACATGCACCGTCACGATCTAATGCACTGTAAATAATGGATTTTTAAAAACAAATAGGCCTTCCGCAACGCAAAAAATTCAAAATCTGACATTTTCCGGAACAGGATCCAGCAGGATCAAATTAAGTACTGGTCATAATACTCACATGATAATGTTTCATGTGAGCAACAATGTGTTTTGCTGCAGCAGCGCTGATGGAAGTGGTTCACTGACTGCGCAGCACAGCCACATGCAGCACAGTTACGTTTGGGATCATTTTATTTTTAATGCCATAATGTCAGTTGAAAACATTGCAATTGTGTTTTAAAATACAACAACGAGCACCACGAAACCATTTAAAGAGGCGCGTTAAGCGGTCTCCGTGTTGGGATAGGAAACAGTCAACAAAGTAAAATGATCTCAAACGAGCTCTCTTCATTTTATCAAATGATTATACTCACATCTAGTCATTTTACAATCCTGCTACTAGCATTTTATTCAGACTAAATCCCCTTTAAATCGGGTGAGAAAGCAGGTTTTTTTTTTTGAGTAACTTTTTCACATCCTGTCATGCCGGGCTGCATAGACGCATTTTGCAGCATTAAGGTTAACGATTAATCGATTAATTGATCATCAATTTAAACGATGATCGATCATGGAAATTATCGAAAATGTACATCCCTAATACCGACTAATAAATTACAGAAAGTTTAGCAAACACTGAGGAATCAAATTAAAAAAAATTATAAAAGAGAGCCTCCACAGCGTAACGTGAGGTAAACAGCAAAGATAACAAGAACAAAAAGAAAAGTAAAACTAAACTTGCTGACGGTGACAGTGCTTGCATGTTTTTTCTCAGAAGAATACCAACATGTTCCTCCTCACTGGTTTAAAAGCGGTCTTTTACTTTAGCTTGAAAACCATCCATCGTTTCCTCAATATGCGCAGCATTTTTGATGCGCGCACCAGGCTATACACTCGAAGCGCTGCGCAGTTTAATTGAGTAGCGCGGTTTTATTATGCTTTCAATTTCATTTGCCGTTTGATGTTTCTCATATGCAACAGAAATGGCAGCGCTTATGAGTTGAACAACGCGGTGGTAGCGCTAGTGCAACTGCACACAAAATTTAGTCGCACAGGCAGAAAAAAAATGGTCGCAGTCTGGAGCCCTGCCTATAAGGTTTATAAGTGCTGCCCAGATCTGCTGCGATTGCTCTGGAAATTCTTGCGGACGATATGGCGCAGGGGAATTATTGCAAGCCAGTGGAGTTATGCTGAAGGTGTGTGGATACCTAAGGATAATAATTTCACAAACATTGAGCAATTTAGGTCCATCTCATTGCTCAGGGTTGAGGGCAAATTCTTCTTCAGTATTCTGTCCAGGCGGATGACTGACTTCCTGCTTAAAGGGGTGCAAAATTCACTTTTGTTGTTGTTTGAATATAAATGTGTACACATCCACCCTACAATGATAAAAATCCACCCAGTGTTTTTTTTTTAA